ACCAATGTCCCTGTTCAACACATTGGAAACCCCAAACACACACACAGCCACGCATGCATACAACCAATCACATTGTCTTAGATGCTGTCTGAAATTGACTTTACTTCAGCGATTGTTGAAACCATCCCGAAACCAAGACCATATCGCAATACTGTGTGATTTATGTTCAGGACGATTTTGTCGCATCTCAGCCTGCTGCATAGTGCAGAAAACGTGATGTTTATATGTGGGTTTTGCATTGGCGCAGTGCAGATCGAAAGAGAAATCAACATAAGGAGGAGGACCATGGTGCCGTGGTAACGACAGGTAACATAACAATATTCCTGTTCGCACAAGAGGAGGAATGACATCGGTCGACAGCAATCGATTTGGCGAACCTTAGTGAGTATGACAATCATACTCTGTGGGTAATACTGAAGGCCGTGTTACATCATCGGGAGATGCCGTGTTATGGCCCATGTAGTTCAAAAACAATCTGAAATATTTATCAAGAACCTGTCGTTGTTCGAACTGGATCAGCCTTATTCACACACACTCTCCAGTGGCCTCTGATTTTGCATGAAGCCTAAGAATCAGAGACAGTTTGAATATTGTTTCGAGCAACTAAAATGCTTAAAGCAACTTCAAGAGATGAAGAATAGTGGACAAAACTAACTGGACTTCTTCCCTGAGTGCGTCAATATCGGATGACTTCATCCACGGGGAGAACCCACGTTTTACTCCTGAGCATTTATCTGCTCAAAAGGAATTTAAAGCAAAGTACAATTTGATCATGTAAAACCCTAATAAGTGATCTCAGGCGGTGATGATAAATACTACAGAGATTATCAATGAAAGAAACAGAGTGCCCACATGATCCCAGCAACGTTTTACGAGAAAGGACACGTAATAACCTCAGAGGATCGAACTAGTTTGATAAAAACAGCATTCGAGGAAACCACAAGGTCTCGTTTGGTGTCCAACAGTGGGGTCATAAAACTCACTTGCAAGCATATCGAGAAGGAGAGGATTCGATTGCGTCTGCCCGCGTCCCCGCTCAAACGTTTCTTACTGCTTTGCAAAACAATATCTTTCGCTTTTCTATGACGTGCATGCAGGCAACTTGAGAGTGTCGCCAGTGACACACCATTAGATCCACTCCTAGAAAACCTGCTTTTAGCGAATCTCGAAAACAAGTGAAACAACTTTCTGGAGTGTGCCATCCTGTAGAGAAGATACTGGTAGCACGTTGCTTAAGCAGCCCGTCCGATCGCGCACGCCTCCGAGTCAGACCACACGCACGCTCGCAACGTTCCAGACAAGCTAAGCCCGATTAGAACGAATCAATCAATGTTTGTCTAATTGATCAATCGATCAATCGATATGTCATGGACGCAATCTGAGTGATTGGTGCATCACTGCACCGTTCTCGTATGAGCAATTCGTTCTATATATTTGCTTATCGATATCTAAGAAAAAAAGATACACGCTGACTTTAGCTTCGTTCTGTCTCCGCGTTGTTGTTGGGGCTCAAGCAAGAGCCAATAGTGTCATTCGTACGTCTGGTCCGAACACAACAGTTACATTGAGGACACCCTTGTTATAACATAAAACCAGAAGCTACGATAATCCTAGATGAAAACAATGAACTATATTCAAATATCTGGTTCATAATGGGATCAGAAGTCAATAATAAATTGAATTTTCTCAACCTTAGCATGCCCAAAAGAGGAAATACAGCAACTGCCCCATCCATTTAACGAACAGGCTGATATTTACACTTCAAGAGTCTCGTGCCCACGGAGTATAAGCGTGGTCTAGTTTGGATGTTATTTCATAACACCAAAGTGATTTCGCACGGAAGATGGGAGTAGAAAGAAAACTGTAAATCATTCGGGAGGTATTGGAAAGAAACGCCTACGCCGAATTAACTTGTTATTGATCACGGCAAACCGAGAGTCGTGAAGATACCAGTTGCGTCAGACCAAGAACTACGAGTCAAGTTGTGCCATCAATTCGAAAATAGTGTCGCAGGCCGTCTGAGCAAAACACCGAATGAGATCGAGACTCGCGTGAACCTAGCATGTAGCTGACCCCAAAATCTTCTATCGAACAATCAGAATACCCTCGGTAAAAGAACATTTGCCTCTGTGCCGGAATTCTAACCTGTTCTACCAACTTTGACGTTGGTGAATTGCAACCCGCATCGGCAGAACGGAGAGAGAATTATGTATCTGGGTGCACGAACACAATTCAAATTGGGTTCGGAATTGAATACCGAAATCTAGGTTAATTTCGCCTCATAGAAACGACGGAAGAAACGACAGGACCCGGCATTGGTCACAACTCTGACGATACAACGCCAAATGGACTAAAAGTAGCACTCCAGATTATCTACAAGGCTCGAAATGTAAGGGCACTGATGCGATTGCTATTAGGCGATCTAAGCCTGCCTGAAATGAAAGAATGAGATGTTTGCCTATCGTTACCACGGTTCCTTAGTCCTCCTCTTAACGCTGCACGTTTATGTAAATCTGTTTTATTCTCTTTTGGTTTGCTTCGTCGCCATGCCGCAATCACCGTTAGACAGTATGCTTTCCAAACCATGCACCATGCTGATGTGCGACAAAATCGTCCTGAACATAAATCCAGTAGCATTGCGACATGATGTTTACTTTTGCAGTTGAAACTATCACCAGCTGTGCGTATCCTAATGGGTTTACACATTGTGACAAAGTATTGCAACATCCCTAGATTGTAGTATTATCTCCACTGCCGTATGCACGATCATTACTATTTTGGATAATATAAGTGTCATCGAAATGATGAACCGAATCACTGAATTTCACTAAGTTAAATTTATTGATTAATAATCATGGTACCCATGTATATACATATATATATATATATATATATATATATATAAAGAATAGTATTGAGTGGTGTTTTCACCCACCTAAACACACTGGACCGCTCTATCTGACATCATGGTTCTCACACAAGGCTCCCAAATAGGTTCGTTACTCCTCCCACGTTCCTCTTTCTTCGTTGCAACTGGCACCAATGGTGAGTCAGTGGTCCACAGACGAAAGTGTAAACTGCGGTTATGTGACAGCCTGGTGACAACAACCACACCAATTCACGTCACTCTTAATGACCTTGAACGAACAAAGAAATTTCAGTAGGTCATTGCGCGCCGTTCTTAGATAGGTGCGTTTTAAATGGTCTGCTGATTGTGAGAAATCCAGAAATGATGCCTAGCATAATTCAATGTCGATGAGATAAATCAGAAACTGTTTGCCCGTTTTGAAATGGCCGAGAGAATGCAGCGGAAAATAGATTCACGTTGCACAATCTGTAACCGGATGTATTTTGCTGTATGTCATCAGGGCATCCTACAGATCATAAAATATACAAGATCACATCAAACCGATTAAAATAAACTATAATCTGTTAAAAGTTGTCATGGTAATCCCAGCGTAACTAAAATAGGGTGGTAATGGCGTAGTTGTTTAGTTGCTGTCACCGGCGTGCTTCGGATCCTATGATCCGGGGTTCGAACCCAGCTATTGGCACACAACTTTGGTAGTAGTTAGCTTCACTGTCTCCCGGTTCAATACCACGCCAGTCTAAGTCCCGAGGCTTAGGTTACCGGTTTCTATCGTTAAGTAGCACGTCTTCCTGACTATGGGATGTACCCCATCTGCTGTTCATCACCCAGACATGTATAGTTAATAGAAGTACTGCGCTATCAGTGATCCTATGCTGCAGGAATTTGCTGAACAAAATGCGATTCATATAAGGTAGCCTACTTTGTGCGAGCATACGGAATTATTCATTGTGCTGATATTCCTGTGGTGAAATCACGAAAATTTTGAACTGCTTACTGTTTATTTTTTGTCACTTTGTATTGATGCATATATATATATTCCTGGGTCGCAGCGGCACGTTATGTCCTCATTTGCGTCAAATGCTCCATCAAAATTTCCTTCTTCAACAATGATAATCCCGCCATTCATAGCTAATGTTTAAAAAATGCTTGCTATTAAATCACGGCATGTAAATCAATGATGTGGCCCGCTTGCAGCCCAAACGTGAACGCAACAGAAAATGGAGGAGTTATATTTTACTCGAAGACGCAAGAATTCACATCACATAATGTGAATTGGTGACATCCGTGATTGCATATATATATATATAATATTTATATATGCAGATTACATTCACCTTGATTATTGTCGATGTACGTCAGAGTCATATTCAAAACTATGGTAGGATAACAAGTGATATATATATGTCAGCAACACACGTATCTTTTTTAAATTGATTTGATTTGGGATCAATTTGAACTGCACCGAAATCAACTGAAGTTGACCCAGAATCAATTTAAGACGTGGTTTTGCAAAACGTATACGGACAAAATAGAAAAAATAAATGAGCTAATGACTAGAAGGTTTTATTGATTTTTATCGTCTAAAATGGGTGAGGACAAAATTTGTGGGTTGATTCAGCTGGACAGCGTGTCCCCGAAGAATAGTTGCAAATCTTATTGATGGTATGGCACATACGATAATCTTCATTCATTTAACTTTTTGAAAACTGGCCTCGAGGAGCTATGTGTCTATCGTCACCGGAGAGCACGGATTATTCATTTGATTCCATCGAACACCGTCGGAGTTCATCATTCTTGCTCTGACAAACACAGGAACTTTTGAACACTGCGTCTATCCAACAAACGATTGTGTGGGTGAAAAACATTTCCGAAAGTTTGGGGAGGATGATCATGAGATGGTGGAATAGTTTTGTTCCTGGTGTATTGTCACTTAGATACGGCAAATGTAAAACCGGAACAGTTTCCTGTTTCAATTCTGTAGTCAGATTTAACACTTTGAGTCTTTCAAGGGACTGTGTAGTGCGCAATTTGTTCTTTATTCTTCGGACAAATGGTGACCAGATTTGATTGGTTGATTTTTGTGTGAAAATTCTTTTTGATTTTCCCTGTTCTTGCCCACCCTTCACAGTTATCGAAGCCAAGGGGTTACGAAGCTGTACAGACACTCCGTGCAACTCGTTCGTGAAAGTAAGCAATTTGAAGTTCTATTTATTGATCCACCACAGTTATATTGTTATCACTAGTGTTCGTTAGCAAATAAAAATTCTGAAGTGTGGCGGTTTATAAATAATCCCATCTGGAATAAGATCCATGAAATCGGAACTCAGACTAATTGTTCCGGATGCATGAGGCTATTTCACGGCTGACTGTTTGCTGAACTTCATCCAACTGGGAGATCCGCAATTCATCCACTCGGGTGGCATCGAACTCAAACGTTAGGTCAGGATAGGTTTGAGTTGTTAGCTTCTCACGTAGAATTTGAGCACGCATGCATTAGCACCGTGTCACTGGGATGCCCCACTTGGGCTGAGCGGATTCTCCAAATTATGTTGGTTCTGAAGTCAACCTCATTTTTTTGTCCAGTTGTGTTTACACCCAAAACTACGATATTAACCGACTGACTCACTCAAGCTAAGGTTTAAACAAGCTTCAGCCTAGAAGTGAATTGGCTGACAGTGTGCTATTGAGCGCGCATCCGCATACAAAATCCGGAGGGTTGAAATGAGATATATGTTGACTGACAAGCGTTAACGATGCACTCCAGTGACAGCGAAATTTGAGTCGAGAACTTGGAAAACATCTACGGGATATGAAGTAAAACTGACGATCAGCGAATTCTGAAGGTGATAAACATAAAATAGATTTAGTCTTCCATTAGCAGCGTCTTTTGAAGTCCATGAGGCTGTTAATCAGATTATCAGAGAACAGAGTCAAACATATACGTAAATCTGCGTAATAATCCGTGGTGCATAGATGATGTTTGTACATTTCTCGTGGTGGTCATTTTTGAGGCACTCCGTCAGGATTGACGAATTGTGGGTGGGTCAGACTTACCTGTTTCTTCTATAGTTACAGTAGACTGCTGTCATGTTTCAACAAACTGCTTCAGTGAGTCCAACTTTGGTCGGTTCAGCGTGATTGCCATGACTTTGGTTGTGGATAGAATTCTGTTCCACTGGTTTGATTGATTTTAGATTGGTTACTCTCTTCTTGTCTCAGTTTCTGATCTGTGTCGAGTGTGCGAACTAAAATGTTGAATAGACTTTTATCAGTTCCTTTTGACAGTCTTGAAATACAGTGTTCTTCCTATATATAATCCGCATCACAGGAGCACGAATGATATTACACATAAAAGGAGGTAAACTGATCAGATAATCATTTCGTTTTCCAGTACACGCAGTACCGCTTTTGTAGGCAAACATCATTGGGTATAAACTATGGCTTATAATGTGAATTAATATATAGATGTTACCCTAATTCCTTGAAATCCACCCACATGTATAACTATTGTACAACACTCGAAATTTTTTTTATCATAGAAGCTTTTGTTATTCAATTCGAATTCGAATAGTTTATCTATGCCGAATGTTGATTAGATGAAATTTGTTTAATTTATCAATAATTTTAATTTTCGGTAAAACTTTTTTCTAAGTGACAAACTGAACTGCGCAAAAACCCTAAGGAGTACCTTCGCGGTTCATCAGTAAATATGTACTTTTCAGTCATAAATAACCTAGAAAATTGCATGATCTTTCATCGCTCTGGTTTTTAACCAGATTTGAGATCTTATCACAAAAATTGCACTAATGATCTTGCAAACATTTATCAAAATAAATTTAGGATTTCATAAATCTGTGCAGTCATCAGATAGGTCATCAATCATTAGAATGAAAGACGACGAAAGTTAATTTCCCCGATCCATGGTCACCGACTGATAACAACAGAGGTACACTATGATGATATTTCAAACCTCACATTATCTCGAACGACTATCTCGCTTTATTGGACAAATTTGAAAGGTGTTAACTGAAGGGGAACAAGAAAATGTTGTTTAATGAAGCTAATTTATTGGACAGCCTGAACGAAACAAATGGTAATTTCAGATCGGAACTCTGGGGCGGTCTTTCATTATGACACTGGGAGAGCGTGCAGCATGAGGTAAACTGTGAATTTTGGATATGCCTGTGTAAACGAAATCATGCCCGAAGCCGTGAAAAAAGATACGCGGTCGGAGGTAAACTACCAAGCAGCTGTTTAGCTTGACTGTGAAGAACGTATAGGCCGCTTTACAGGTAGGCAATAAAGTCAGGAAAACAATAATGTTGAACAAAATCGGTGTCACTTTTGGGTTCCTTCCGGCAATGGCTGATGAGAAGTAGTAAAATGGTGTCTCTCACAATCACTGTACCCAAAGATCATATGTTCGACGTCCCCTAATTCGCTTCAATTAGTGCTTCCCGTGTATCCCGTGGTAAATCTATGATTGGCTGCTTCCTGTAATCAAAAATGAAACGCTTTTGTTCTGATCACCTCGTTTGAGGGTTCTGATGATATTAAATTTATAGCTGATCTGCTCAGTGAACACTTTTCATCCTTATCTGTGATGAATTCCGCAGCAAACTTTAGTGTGTTTTGTCACTTGATGAGCAATGTTAGCGGAAATCAGAGGATTCGATAACTGGCAATAATGTTTAGAAAATGGTTGCTCATTTACATTATTGGTTATGTGATGGTAAAATATTTGTAAACACTCGTCAGAAGTGACCAAACAATCTAAAAATCTCGGTCGCTCGTAATCATGGAAAGGTCCGTGAAACCAATAGGTAACCTAGGTCATTCATTACGTCATCACCGCGGGCATTTTCGAACTTGGACTCACTCTGATAGGGTAACTTTGTAGCACACAAGTTCAGCAAAGAATCAGCTCCAAAGTCTTACTTGCCTGATATGTTTTAGTGTTTCACCGTGACCAACACTGGTGTTTGCATCATAAAATATGTTCATGATTGACGGTATCCTTTTTGTAATCATACCGCAGGTTAGATATCAACGATAACATTAGCAACAGTTAGGGAATTTTTGATTCCCTTGTGATTGAGGGTTTACTTGACTGTATGATGTGGATGTAGATTCAACGCCCATTCTTTGTTTATCACCCTATCGGTGACCTGGTATCCCTGGATAAACGACATATATCATCTGGCGTACTCCGTGCAAATTAGTCCAAAATTCGGTAGAGTGAGGTGAGATAAAGCCATTCACCTTTATTAAGTCTAGGCTCAAAAGGAAATTCATGTAGAGACTTGTAAAATTTTCTGTCAATATTGAGATCTGACTGGAGCATATGGTTCCTTTTGTTCCACAATGTTTTATTGTATCCGGTTACCAGTGATATTGAAGATCATTGTGCATGAAAAGTTTGCGCACAAGTAACTTTACGGCTTCCACGTACGCTCCTGATCGAACACTTTGATTCTGCCACTGTACTACTTGGGATATTTGGATGCACCACTCGAAAAACAGTATTTTAAAACCCTATTTTCATCTAGTTCTCTTTGATAGGAGGGTAGAGGGGTGGGTGGGGATAACAAGCAACTGTGCTCTGTAAATATTGTAAAGATTTTGTGGTTCTTTTGTAGTTATTGAATACACTTTGGTGTAATCGGTTAGCCACGACAACCACTGCCTGTGAACCCGGTCACGGCTGTTTTTCAATAATATAAAGATTACTAGTTTCCAAATCTCGTAACAGGTGAATGCAACACGTGCCTGAATCAACATTCGCTTTCATTCAACGGATAGTTTAACAAATTAAATTATTCAACGAACCTAATGAGGGTGAAATAAAGCTATGCCCTTGTTTTACTCTCCAAATCGGGTCAAACATGGCTTTAACACTAGCGAACAGGTTTGGGTCACAAAATGAATGTCCAACTGTTCTGAGAATTGTCAGTTTTTAAATGCCTTTGCGGTGTGCCACATTCATCGACCGATCTACTCAAAATAATCATCAACCAAAAATTCTCTCATCTACAGGCCTAATCGAAACTGAAGCAACAGGTCCCTGTGAAACATTTGTGTTTTCGAATAGGCAACAGTATTTATACTAGAGTAAATTTTTTTCCAAATAATAATAAGCAAGCCTTGGTGAGTCTCTTTATAGCATTGATTTTCCTGATTCGCTTATACTCAGCAGATGGAATAATTCAGAATGTACAGGATACTCCCATTTCATCAGTAGTGGTTGACCTACAGCATGATGAGTTAGGAGGTAAGTTAAGGGAATAGAACAGATTTTATTTACAACAAATTAACATTGATAATAACTATGATGTAAAGCTTATGTACACTAATAGTCGATTAGTCTGCCCTTGTTCTTTAGGACTTTTTCGAGTCTCTTCGGCATGGAATCCACCAACTTTGTTATGAAGTCATTTTCTATTTTGTGTTTCATTACGTATCGCACTTTTGCCTCCAATGTCCAATGTGTAGGCAGCCCATTGACCTCTTTCTTCAAAATTTCCCACTATTCATGGTTCCTTTGACTGATATCCACCGNAGGCAACAGTATTTATACTAGAGTAAATTTTTTTCCAAATAATAATAANTAAGTTAAGGGAATAGAACAGATTTTATTTACAACAAATTAACATTGATAATAACTATGATGTAAAGCTTATGTACACTAATAGTCGATTAGTCTGCCCTTGTTCTTTAGGACTTTTTCGAGTCTCTTCGGCATGGAATCCACCAACTTTGTTATGAAGTCATTTTCTATTTTGTGTTTCATTACGTATCGCACTTTTGCCTCCAATGTCCAATGTGTAGGCAGCCCATTGACCTCTTTCTTCAAAATTTCCCACTATTCATGGTTCCTTTGACTGATATCCACCGACAAGGCTGACCATGTTTTATTCCTGCCCAAATGAGTAATCTCGACCGGTGAGAAACTTTCATTTGGTGGATTAAATCCTTTTGCGAAATTCTCACCACAAATGACTTTTTTGTGAGCCTTCCAAGGCTCGTCGCACACCATACACTCGTTGGCGAAATAAACCGACGAGATTTGAATTCTCAGGCAAAATCAATTAGAGCCTGTCTTTGCCAGGCGTTCAATGCTGACTTTACGTCAGCTGAAACCTGACGCATCTTAATTTTTTTCATTCTTTTTTGCAAAAAGGATTATGAATGGCTGGGAAGATCTTTCCGTTGAATAGACGACAACGTTTTTCGGCAATGCTTTTTTCAGATTAATACAAATCAGGTCGTCCTCTTGTTTAGATGTCCTCGGTTTACAGCCTCTGCAAGCGGTTCTGGTTGTGGTTTTTTCATGGATTATCCTGTAAATTGTGCTTTTTTTAATGTTAAAGCATTGGGCAAGATTTGATTTTGAAAATCCCAGTTTATCTGCTAGTGCAATTCTGTTTCTGTCCTCTTCACTGAGATAACGGGAACTATTAGTTTTGAGCGCTGCTTGCTTCATTGTAGCGACAACAATAAGAACATTCAAAGCTGTGCACAAAAAAGGATCTTGATTTCAAGGTTGACTTTGATTAGAATGGTATTTCTCGAATTCAGTAAGTCAGATATCAAACACAGATTATTATTAAGATTATTATTGTAATTCAATAGAGTTGCTGTAATGGATTATACGTCGGATAAAGAAATGCCTCATAGCAAACATCCGAGGTGGCAGGGGTTTATGGAAATAATTTGGGATAATTCTTGATTTATTCCTATTAGAATATATTGCGTTTTCATACTTGACAAAGTTTGCGTTTTTCATGTTCTGATAATTTAATCTTGGCAATCAAGGTCACGCACGTTTAATTGACAATTATGCAGCCTAGAAACTACTTAGATCCCAGTAGACAAGATATAAATTATTGTCTATACATAAAGCATTAAAACAAGTAATAAATATAATGAAACTCCATTTGATCATAAAGAAAATATTTCAGTGCATCACAATCCACCCGTACTGTAGTTTTCTGCATGTTTTTTTTAGGACAACAAGCTTACTGCATGACTGAAACATAGGTCATCGAGTTCTTGAAGCCATCAGTAGTACAAACACAGGAATCATAGCGTTTTCTAGGATCGTTGTTCCTTGTACATTTCCGTGAACGACTCACTGACGGTTATTCAGACACCCGTAGATGAACTGCCGGCACGTCTAAAGCCTAGTGGCAATTCTTCGAATTTAATCTGAGAAACCGCGCTATCCCGAACTGACATCTGTTGAGATATTGGTTCTGTTCACATTTTCTTCAGTTCATCTGCGCTGCCATTTCGTCCCGAACACTCATCAAGTCACCTCTAATTCTAAAACAATTTTCCGCGGAAAGTTTGTCTCCTCGAAGCAAGATATCGGCTACCTTACCATGTAGATTTATTGCAACCTCAAATGTGCCTACTTCTGAGGTTTGGAATTTTCAGTGTCTACTGTTTTGGCTTTGTTCTCATGTTGATACATTCCAACCATTACCACATTACTGCTCATCATCGCTACATCCGTTTGTAGTTCGTCACTAGACTCTAAATGTTGAGGAACCTCCGTCAATCCTTACCAACTATGGTGAAGTGCCCCATTGGTCATTTCTGTAACGAGAATACCACAAGAAAGCCGTAACTGTGGTGATCTAGGAAGTCATGCAAATATTTGGTTCCATAGGAAACTGACACAGAAGCACCAATCAATTACAGCGATACTTGGTCTCTATCATAACAGCTCTTCTACGGCTAAAAAGCTCTCATACGGAGATTAGAATTGTAGGCACATGAAACAAGGGCCCTGCACGAACAATTTAAAAAATGAGAAGAGTCCCAATACCACACCATTCCTGTTAGAGCTGTGATCACGATGGAATCAATGAATGCAAGTATCAGGTTTCCGGTGAACTTCGAACTTATTATCAGATTTCCCGTACTCCTCTGATCAGCATACACTGTATCATCTGAGCTACAAAGTTACTTCTATCACTTCGATAGCTTCCCAATTGGTTGTCAGTCAACATGCTGACAAATCAGATAACATGTGGGTCACCCAGACTGGGGTACCCGGTACCGACCCAGCTAAACCACATTGACTCCCTCAAAATCGGTGACATAATGAAACGTAAACAACTAGTTCTCACTTATAAAACCACTTTTGTCAAGCGCTTCAAGTCTATTTGACTGCTGGGGTCATTTTTTGACTAGTGTCATAATAAGAATCCCCTTATGAGTTCGCTAATTACCCATTCTTTGTTCTCAAGTACATATTTGATACCAATTCAGAATGGCGTACGCACTTAGGTGCATTTGTCTCCATTGCTGAGGAGGAGAGTTTCCTTTGAGGAGTGTTTCATTTACACTTTACTCCGTGTCACATCACAGGTCACAGTCGTACCGGACAAGACAAACACGTTCACACAATCGACCCCGATTGTGGAATCCAAGGCAAATCCCGTATACAACAAGACCATCACACTGGATTTGAGTAAAGCGAAACATTCCCGACGGATTGTGCTCACCGTGTACTGTCAGCAAACTTTGAATGGAGAGAAGTAAGTGACAGTTTCCAGTCAGATTTGTTCATTCACCAAACGTTCGTCGCTTGTAATCAGATAATTATCTTTCAGTATCAACTGATTATTTTCTCGTGTGTACCGCACAAAGAGACTCTAAGATATGAAAGCAAGAAACAACGTGCGATAACTGTTCGGAACTTATTTGATGTGTAAAATCAACAGGTTTGAACCCTCAATGAAGCGGAATCGGTTGCATGAAGAATAAAATAAATAACCATCAATATCTGTACTCTCCCCGTTCCTCAATTTTCATTCTATTTTCGTTATTTATTCTATAAACAGTTTGATAATGGTAACACCGAATGAGCAAGCGAATGTCTCCTTGTCAAAAGAGCAAATCCGTGTATGCGCGAGTAAATGAATTCTCTCTCTCTGATAAGGTTATACAAATCCCTTTCAAGGACTAGGTGGATGCAGTACATCAGCCCTGATGCTTGTCATAAACCTTCCCCGGTCGTCCGGGCAATCAATCAGTTGTCACACGGGTTGTCCCATCTACCGAAATGAGTAATTTTACAGGTGTGTGTGTGCGTGCGCTTGTGAGTGTTTCTCCTATCCGATTCTTACTCTCACGCTTTCATAAATCAATCAGTAAAATGGATTTGTCTGGAATGGTTTATCGAGCCAAATGAGAAATTCAGATTCAGGCGAGCAGAGCATACCTGTAACAAGGTTTGGAAGAAGCGATGGCAGAGCAATTGGAGGGGGGTTGTGCGTTGAGGCGGGAAGCAGAAACTACACAGATTGTTCACAATTTTTCCAGGACATTTCGTCCTGTTTAGGTACAGTTTAAAACGGTGTACAATTGAGGGTAAATACCAATTTTTGACAACCGAATTCATGTCCTGCTGTCATTTAGGAAATATCCAAAATATTACCCATGCAAAAAATGTTTTATATTTCTTGTAAATTGTGAATTTCTGAACTGAAGCGATTAGAATTNTTCAAGAGAATAACTACTGTGATGTCTCAATTTACGCAACAACAGCATTCTCAGGTTGTTTAGCTTTATGCATTTTTTGGGAAAAGTCTATCGTTTCATTGCGGTGTGTATTACTTCCCTTTTTTGGAGGACTTTTTCGATAATTGTAGATCGGTTCAAGTAATCACATTATACAATTATTCGAAATATCATGGTCACAGTTCCATGACAGAGAACCAAATCGGTCATTCCTCACTCTCTTCATGCATATCGATGTAACTGTATTAGTCGGATCCACCCGGGTCTTTTTTTGTCATAACCAACTAACTAATTCTTCTCACTTCATCTTCCGTCAAGTGTAAACCGAGTGATATTTGGTCAATTCCTAAATCAAGATAAAACAAAACGCTTCCGGTTGTCGTTTGATGTCATGCATTTTCGTGAACTGTTATAACTTCACCTGTAGAACGCATCATAATTTATCTGACTTTACAATCATCAATTTGCACTTAATTACAAGTATTATAGTATTTGATTACCGGCACGGTGTCCGATGGACTTAGCCCTTTTCTTTCTGAAACTGTTCGTTTAATGCCAAATTAGAAGTCCCAAAGAGTCAAGTCAATTCAATTCAAGGAATCGCTCTATACACCCCGAGGGTGTGGATATTCAACAACCACATCACCACAGTGTGTGTCAACAATTTAAAAAAAGCCAAATGTATTACAGTAGTTAAAAGAAATGAAACGCACAGCAACATCCAGAAATCAATCACATGCACGAGTGTTTATGATTGGATTCGTTTGGCATTTCTGCGGAGTTTTTCTGCCAGATTTCTTGCAAACCATGAGATTTGTAAGAAATCTGGCGAGATACGGTACAAAAGAGCGCCTGTAAACTTCAGTGCATGCCTTTGAAAGTTTATGACTGGGACGGGTGGATGAGTAAGAAAGTATGTCGACTAAAAGCACAATGATGGGGATGGGAAATAACAGATAAAATCTTATTGGATAATGTTTTACAAGACTTGAGATGGTGTGTCTCCACATGCTCTACCAGATGTTTCCGTGTAGTAAGACTAAATACGGACATAAACTTGAGGGACTGGGAAACGAGTTAATGGTCCTTGTTGAAAATACCGGGGGAGATAATAGGGGAACGATAAAACCAGTGGGGCAAAGCGCAAACAAAGAATAAAACTCCTTATGAGATGATTTGCGATATAAAGCGATTTAAGACGCGAAACATAGAAACGTGAGCCTCCGGACCTTCAGCAAAACGTCATTGACCTGGTCAGACCGAGTGAGTTTACGGTTGAAGATAACACCAAGGTATTTGATAGATGGTTGTCGACCCATCTGGTCACTGAAGATAGATAAAGGCGCGCTGGCATTTGACAATTCATCATACTTTCGACCATTCAAAAGGCAAACAGTTACGTCATGACATTTTTGTGGGCTCATACGCAAGTTCCGTTGTTGAGACCACTCAACTATCTCTGTTCTGTTTACGTTTGTACACGTCAGCGGTGTATAAACTATATTTATATCCAAACGTTAGTATGAGAAACCCCTCTTGTTGAGCAGTGAAAAATTTGGATTTACGAACAAATTATTTAAGGCAATTCTTCTGAATTCCATGCAAAAAACAAACCGGTTCGTGTGTTGTTGTTCCTGTGTCAGTTGCAATGAAGTATTGCTTCGTGCGAACGAGAAAGTTTAGAGTGGATTAAAGGATCAATGTGGTCTTGCAAAAAGCAAGCACAATGTTAGTTGAATGGTAAGAAAGGGACTATATCCAACGGTTTGAGAACACAAGAGATTGGTTCTAGTTTGAGTGAGCTGTGATGCGTGTAACAAGCTTGCGGAGATAGTTTACGATGAGTTACATATGGGCTAAATGAAAACTGTCTGATCAGATATTCAGTAGTTCACTGGATATTATGCCTACCTTGTTAAATATTGGTTCTACGCTCAGTTTTGTCGATGGGTAAGCACTGCTAATGATAGCCAGCGGGGTCATAATGACTGTATACTGTTTCCACCATTGGTCTATACATGACGAAGTTGATTGTATCACCTCATATTCTTCTATCGAACATGTGGGAGTAAACGAACCATCAAGAGTGAACAATTATTTTTCTCAAGTTCGCTGAAAATCCGATTCAGTATGACATATGTTTTCATTGATGGCTTCCGACACAAAGTTCACATGTCGCCAATTTACCGAAAAAAATGAAGAGACACAAATTTGCCAAAGTTTCTGTCAACAAATTCATCTTGACTTCACTTCTATGTTTGCATAGAAAATGGGAAAGAGAAATTTTCATTTCTGAGAACTGACATTTGACATTTCTGGTGAACTGGTATAACTTTCAAGGCGTGGCACAGGGAGCGGCGTATATCTGAGACAAATCTGTTCCTCGAGAGAACAGTTTGACAAAGCGATAAAATTGTTTCGAAAAGAACACCTTAACTGATCTAGCTGACCAACAGTCTGAAGTTCTCAAGATCAGTCAAGCTGTCTGTCCCTGTCGGTTGAAGTGTGTGCGCGTGCGTTTGTTTGTGTATGCGTACGTGCGTGCGTGCTTGCGAGAACATAAGTCCACTGATTTTGACAACAATCAGCGAAAAGAAAATATAGGAAGCCGACAAATGTCATTATGCCATGTCAGTACGTCGATTTTTCTTCAAAGTTTTGTGTGAAAGATAGCCACGGTACTAATTTCTCTCTGACAAAAGCAGCACGCTGAGTTAGAGTTTGTAGAATTTCAAGCATCACTTTTAGCTCACAGTGAAACACGTAAATACAAATTTCGGAAAGTCTGAGAGATGCACAGTGTTCGATGCGACGTGTGTGTATGTTTGTGACCGACAAGTTTTCTCAAGAAACTAATAATACAGGAGTAAAAACTGTATACAAGAATGAAGGTGTTGCTGGAAAAGGAGACATCCACCAAAATAAGAGATCCATATCTGCGAGCTTCGATCCTGCGAAGCCACTTGGGTCGTACCAGTAGTGCGAATCTATCATCTTCTCCCTCCGAATGGATCCATCTGTTGCACGGACGCGTGGAACGTAGCTGGGCAGACTGAGTAGTCAAGTAGTGCAATCATTCTTGCGAGTGTG